TTGCAGTTGTGTAATTCGATTTTGGTTACAAACAATTACAAAAACTTAAAGAATATTAATTGCCAAATAATTCCCTACATTTGAATGAGGTTTTGGAAAGCAACGCAGTCGTATATGTGTTGAACATGAAATATAATTTGTATTCTCCCAGAATTCCAAAACGCAAGCTGTGTATTCACTTTGCATGCCCGATTTTCTTTTAAACTTCCCAAGCGCGGAGTTATTCAACAAGTGCTTTGAAATCTGAAACCGAATTGCACTACTAGTGTTACTAACTTGAGAAACCGAAGAAAAATACTGTACGAAATTCGATGAGCGGGTATTAATACACTTGTTTGAAGTGTACGATGCTCGAACATTCCTTGCTCGAATCATAATATCAGTTCACACTCGCGCATAATTTCATAATCGTTTGTTAATATGCTATTAGTTTGTTAGAAACCTGCATACGAGCATGACATTTCATGAATGGTTTGTAAACAATGCTATAATTACGCAGACGTCAATACCGACGAAGTACGAATGCTTCTTGTTAATGTCAACATATTATTTCTTGTAAAGTAAGTAAAGTAACTTTCAGCAAAAATAAACTAAAAAATTAATCTTCATCAGATTTAGATGAATTTTTGGATTGTTATTGAAAATTTGAGTACCTACCTTTATACACCCGCTAACTTAACGTTTTGAAAGCTTCTTTACGCACTGAAATATTTCCTAATATTTTCAAGAAAAATTCAAAATTAAGCTACTTTTTAAAAAGAGAACAGAAATGAAATTCAAAATTACTAGCCAATTTCTCTTTTAACAGTTTTTCTCAAAAATATTAGTGAGGCTTTTCTATACGCGAATGAAAACTTTTCTCGGGAAAAATGAAGGATTTCCAATTTATATTTTGCAACTTAAAAGAATGTGTTCGACACGCATCCTCTAAGAGCCTTTTAGGACCCGACTGGTTAACGACTCTGCTTCGCTCTAGCTATGCCTCGAAGTTAACCTTCCGGCCTTGGCCGTAAATACTCCCTTCGAGGACTAGGTACATAAATAACTATTACTGAATAGTATCTAATGTTACGAGATCATCCAAAGAATGGATATGTTTTCAAAAATACACATTTTGAGAGTTTCTGATACATGTTAATACGTTGATTTTTTTTTCTTTGAACAGTAGACAAGTAAATGTTATTTTTCATTTAATTCAGTTCTCTGTGAACAATACTATCTCAACGCAGATTGTTTTCTTAAATATTTTGCACTAAATCTGCGATTTTGAAAAGAGTATTTAATTTTTATACTCTTCGTGTGAACATCATAATACATAGTGATTTTTCATCAAAAACTGCTTCCAATTTTCTCTTAGATTTTTTGTTCCATTAAAGCAAAGTTTGTTGTGCTTAGTCAGCTTTTTATTAGTTTCCAAAATTTCGAAAATTATTTTATTAAAATCTTGTTTAATAATATGACGGATTTTCCTTTTACGAACCGGATCTAATGTATAAAATATTTCTAAATATTATTATTTATAATATTATTTCTAAATATTTGTTTATTCAGTTATTTCAACAATATCCTATTCGTTCGTGGAGGTATATCGGCCGCGAGAAAATGTATTCGTGGGCCTAAAGAACCATCCATACGGAATTGCGGCTACGTAAAGGAATTAACGTAAAGACTGTTTGTTCAATTGTTTACTAGGATTTAGGGATTCTATCTACCGTTATGAAATTAAAAGTAATATCCATCCTTGAAACACAGATAATTCAGCTTCTTCTGCTTTAAACAAAAATCATACATACAACACTCCTATGACAATTGCAGGAAACAAACAATAACACGTGAAAAACCTTTGCCAATTAACATTTCCCATTCATACCATTATTTACAATACACACATACGCGTTTTGATATTCCCGTTCACACATGGCCACATACTCTTAATATAATAATTTAAATTACTTAATACCTAAACAAAACTTAATCTTCCTACATTTATTTATATTATTACTCTCTCTCTCTCTCTCTCTCTCTCTCTCTTTGTCACTTCCCTGTTGATCCTCTGCATTCTTGGACGTCGAATTTTGCTGTACTTCTCAATTATTGGCAGCATAGTCCAACGCATCGTGGGTCACATCCATTTACTGTCTTTCCATTACTGCAACCACCATGTTTTTAGTTTCTCCTGTCCACACACATTCTACCCATCCGATCGCTTCCATGGCAAGATCATTTCTTCCTCCCGCAGTTGATAAACCGCGCCTTTCACTTGTTTATTTCCAAAAGGCGCAGCAAAAGCCTCATTTCGTTTCTTCATCTTGGTTTTGCGCCGATTTTCTCTCCTATTACTCGGGCAACTTTTCTTGAACGATGGATTGACGATTTCGGGTGGAGTGGGGACATTAGTTACAAAGTCGGCCACTAGAGTATTTTAAGTAATGCCAACGTCTGTGAAATGAAAGTCAAAACTGCATCTTGTGCTTAACTTTTTCGGGAGTTTTAGGTGACTCCCTTGAATGACCTGGACTTGACTCAGCCATTTTTTTTCGATATTGACAATAAACCTGAGCAGGGGTTCTGCACTATGAAAGCAACTGGCTTTGACTAGCTTGTTTCGCGCCAATGAAGTTTGAATGCTTGAAAGGTTGTCATCAGTGCCCGCTGCGAGCTTTTGCCTTCAACTGTTTATTGCACAAGGGAGGGGGATCAAGGTCATCGTTCAAGAAAAGTTGCGCGAGTAATACCTCTTAGTTCATCTATGAACTTTGGTTACGACAGGAGTTTATTTACTCAATTATTTAAGGATATTTAATAAGTGATTTTAGATTGTTTATTGGTTGTTTGACTAAATTTATATCTGGGTTGGGTGCTAATGTTCTTTTCTGATTAGCTACTCATCCCTCAGCATCGGATACTGTTTACTCTTTGACTTGCGATTCTCCCATACTCATAATTTTAATTCATCCCACGGAAGTGACTCACGTGTCCATATTAAGTTTATTATTAAAAACTATCCACTGTTTTTCTCGTCTATGTATTTTCCTCGCATTCGTTGAACTTTCGTTATTTATGCAATTACTCTATGTTTACTGCGGATTCCCTTTGTTGGCACCATACATATTTTTATAACACGTAATTTTCTTTATAGTATTTATTTGGCCCTCTAATGACCCATCACAGCAGAGAGACATTACTCGTACCATGCAATTGGCTAATTATTTCGTTTTAAAGGATTCAGAGATGTGAACTAGAAATAGTACAAACGAAACAATTGCTGAAAACGACAAAGTAATCAAAAATCAAAAGCTTGGAATGCAAAAGAGTGAAAATTCTTATTGGAAGAGTCAAAATCTCTGGGGATCGACTGAATACGTAATTACTAAATATCTTGGGTTCTGGTTTTGTCATTTATTTTGTCATATGATGGTTTCTCAGAACTGTTTTATTTATTTCATATTGCCTTATTCATGGTGTGAAAGAATCTTGTAATTTGTAATTGATTCGTTATTGAAAATGTTATAGTTTATCCAATACGAATGACTTTATATGCTTACGTGTTCGGGGTAGATTAAACGAGCTATTATTATAACCTATGAAATAACGGGTATACTGTCGCAGTCATTATAATACCATGAATCATATAGGCATACAATTAAGAGATATGAAAGTGTTTTAAAGGAACCAGATGGCATATCTACATTACGCACGGCTGAAGAATCATTATGTTCCTCGTATGTAATTATTTATTCGCACTAACTCGCTCCTAAATCAATTAACTTGCTTATACGCCTAATAGCGTCCTTTATCCATTTAAGTAATGAAAAGTATTGTTATATTATTGTTACCATGGTAATTTTAATTTAATATTTACCAACACTAAAACTTTGAATTATATTTTCCTCCTGGAAAACTTAAAACAACAAACATGAATTTTACATGCCGTTTTACTGGACAAGCTGTTATTAAAAATGCTCCCAAGAATAATCTGTACGAACATATTCTTTCTTCTAATTTAAATTAATCAAATTCACAAAAATATGAACGTTGGGTAGTATATTAATAAGAGACAAATCCAGACATTTAAGGTTAATCTTTTAAAATATTCGGTGTCTACGCCATGAAATGTATGTAGTTTACGAAAAATTATTAATTGAATGGAAATATTCTCTTAATATTTTAATTCGGGTGTAGAATATTTATGGTCTTTAAAGTCTTAGAATTTTTAAGATTTATTTGTAAAGCTTTTTTAAAAACTTTATTTACACATTCGAAAAATCCTCGGGGTCAAGTACCAAGCGAAGTCTTTCTTTGAAACTTTAATGTTTGGAGAGTTATTAGTTTACAAGTAGGAATATAATTAATCGTCAGTTGCTTAGTGTTAGTTTATATCTCCTAAAGGTTTTGAGTGCACTTCTCAATGAAACTGATGGAGAATAATGACACTCCTCTTTCAAGTTTACTAATTAAGAGGAGTCGGGCAACAAATAGTTTCGAACAGTAGGAACTAGTCGACACTCCAACGCTCTCGCTTTCTTAAAGTGCAGTTCCTGCGAAGTATTTGGGTAATCGACGCGCACTACGCATGTTGCCAGAGCGAGAGAGAGTGAAGACGCCGCTTTTTCCAGTCTCTGTAGTCTAGCTCTTGGTCACGTCTCTGAAAGATCTTGGCCGAGTACACTAGCGTCTCTGCTACCACTTCTGCGTCGCCTTGGGATGTGATTGAGATGGTATCAGGGCTGGATTAATGTGTTAAGGGGCCCTCCGCATGAGGCAGTTGTAGAGCTAGCTAATGATATTGAAATATTCGACATGTGTAATACGAGTGTATATGAGAATAAACCTTTTTTTTTTTCAATTTAGTGGATTAATATTTGAGTGAATTTTTACATATTTGTGGTGTAAAATAAATGATTAAAACATTATTGATGCCCTCGTGCAAAGGGACCTAAGCACGAATTTAGTTGGCTCCTTGGACTGCGCATTGACAGGCTTGTGCGCTCTGCCCGCAGGCACGTGGAGCATCGCGCAGTCGCGCCATCTGCACGCGGGCTCGGGCGGCTCGGCGGGCTCCTCGTCGCACGGCCACCACCATCACCACCACCACCATCACCAGCACCACCAGTCGGGCGGCGGGTCGTCGGGCGGCGCGCAGGTCGGCTCGTCCTCGTCCTCCGCCTCGTCCTCCTCGGCGTCCGCGCAGGCGCAGCAGCCGACGGCGCAGCAGCAGCACCGGGGCGCCGGCGGCGCGGGCGGCGTGGGCGCGGGCGCGGGCGCGGCGGACACCGCGGGCGC